GTGTGGCATTTCCAGAATGGCTGGTATAGGGATGAGTGGCACCTTCCTAGTGACTTTTGCTGTCAAAACCTATACCCCAACATCTTACTGCATACCAGCAAGATTTATTGATACCAAAACACTCCTCTGCCAATACATTAGCCTTTAATTGGTCAACACTGCTCAAATAGGGACACCCTTTGCTAGCCTTTAGTTATAATGGGTTACAGGATAAAGAGCTGAAGTACTTTGGTGTCCCAGGCCTCATTTTATGGACTTGCCATACCCTAGGGTGAAAAATGGCTCCACATAATTCAGTTACTTTATATTGCACTACTTAAAATCAAGCCCAAAATACTACAGTTACAAATCCTTAAGAAATGGGTGAAAAAAAAGACATTCTACTCACAATGTTGTTGCAGCAGAGATCACTTCTTTATCCTGTTGACATCCTAGCTCACTCCCGATGTGGTACCAGTGAGGGTCTGACTTCATGCACCCTGCCTTTCCAGGTCTATCCCCACAGAGCAGCACACAGCAGCTTTCACACTGAGCTGCCCTTGGAGCCTGCGGGAGGTGATGCCCAGACCCCTGACCAAGCACAGGCAGTAGTGACAAGGCCATGCTGACTGCACATAAAAGTAGCAGATGGAGCAAAGAGCAATTGCTGTAGGTACAGATGTCTGCCTAATGTTGGAACAGGCATAGATAAATTCAGAAGGAAGCAGACACTCACCTCAGATCCATTAGATTAGCACAGTGCTGGATTGCCCAGCATCGATACCCAGCAGCACCACAAAGAGCACAACTCATCACCACGTGTATAAAAGTGCTTATGCCAGTGATACAGACCTTTTGTCCATAAAGCAGACTAATGTCTGACTGGTATGAAAAATGAAGCACTCAAACCCATTGCAGAAAACAAGTAATCTGTCATATATGCTCAGGGCCCAGGACTAAATACTTCTCTGCTAGAAAAGAGATTTGCTGAATCTAGAATATATACATTATGCCTGTCTTTTACAGCCCTGTGACAGAGCGATTGCTGTTGTAGTAGAGATGAACCTCAGACTTGTTCTGCTCCCTCTTGAAGTTAGGGACTACCTGAAAACCTCCATAATTCCCTGAGGAATTATAGTTCATTATACTATGAGCCTTCTGCAACTCTTCACATCAATTAAGTGTAGAGTTCTGCTCCCTAGCTTTAGTGGCTAGTTGGCATTCTTCAGAAAGAAATGTAGCTTTCCCAAGAGTTTACATCCTGCCTGTATCCATTAAAACTGTGTGCAATGCATGCATCTAAATGGCTCCGCTGTATATAGGTTGCTGTTGCCTGTCAACCAAGATTGGATGGGATTAGTATTTAATCAGCATAGTTAAATGGCCCTCTTCTTAGGCATCCAGCAGCAGTACATGCACACAACATACAACAGGATTGGAATGGAAATGCTTGCACTATGACAGCTGAATTCCCCAAATTCAGGCCTGGTTACAGCGTGTAAGAACAGATGCAGCACCAGAGCACTGAGCACTCACAGCCTGGCAGGAGCTGGCTCCGATCTCCCTATTCACACCCCTTAATGAGTATCACATTAACCAGAACCTACTCATGCAGAAAGATGTCTCTCATCAAGAGTTAATTATTAATAGATAAATTCAATAGAGAGATTTAAAAAAAAGATAGGATTAATTTAACAAAAGGTAAGATCAACCCAATTCATGCATTTCAAACGCAGATCCTCACATTAGTCTGTCTGGCTCCTTAAGCATTTCTTTCATGTCTACTGCTACACATCTGAGTACTCCATCATAACTTGGATGCTGCATTCCTCCTCCTATTATCTGGACGTTAACTTCTTTAGGAAGTCTTAGCTTTGGGGCACACTAACACTTTGCTATATTGCTGGTTTTAAAACTGTAAGCTCCTCCGAGGAGCAAGAAATAGCAAGTTGCAGCATCAGGATGCAGCCCGTGTGCCTGGTATGGGAGATTTATACCAGCAGAACTTACACTGCTGATCCAGAGGAATAAAGCCAGATCCCCAGGAAGGCAAGCAGGGCAGACCAGGGATGGGACCAGCTCCGACCAGGAGCGGATGGTATCAGTCAGGGAATCAAGTCAAAAGCCAAGCCATGAAGTCCACCCAAAGGTCAGGGTCAGGATGGGGTCCGGCAATCTCCAGGCAGGTTCACACCGGTGATACAGGCACGGGGTCCAGGGGGGAAGGTAAATGCACAGGGTCTGCCTGTGGCCAGGCACTGTAGGGCCAAACCCAACACACCCCAGGACAGCCCAGGAAGGGGCTGAGCCCCCTCACTGGGCATAAATGGGCTCTGGGCCACCAGGTGCAGGGAGCAGGTGAGGCTGCTCAGGGCTGTTAAGGCTTATTAATGCCCTCAGGGCCCTAGCATGTGGGATGCATAAATAAATGGAAAGGTTGCTCCTGTCCTAAAGAGCCTGTGTAGCTGGGGGAGGGCTTAAGGACAGGGTAAGGTATTGGGTTTGGTTTTTTTTTGAGAGCTAAATGTTGATCCAGTTGCATGTGATTGCAGACACTTCCCAGTTTCAATCATTTAACCATTGCTTGTTCCTGTAACAACTTTTCCAGAGCAAATCAGTAGAAGATGCTAGTCAAAGCAAAATGTTATAAATTATCAGGAAGATTTAACTCTACTTTTTTTCTGTAGATGCTGCAGAGCGATGTTAGCCTTTCCATTTCTGTATGGAGAAGTTAAGTTTGTTTGCTGAGAACATAATTGGCTGCTTCTCCTCCTGACTGGCAACATCGTATTTCAAGAATCCATAAATAAATGCTACTAATAAAAATAAAGAGACACAAAGAAGCCATCTCATTAATTTGCAGTGAAAGGCCAAAGAAACCACAAATTGTAGGATGGCTGGTGCCATTTCACTTTTACAGGTGACATATAAAAAGCCTAAAATAAATGTGCTTTCTTTTCAAAGAAATATAAAAAAATGATTCCAGTGTCAGTATCTTCCCTGTTTCTGTCTTTCCTTCCTTCCTTTAAATGTTTCAAGCTCTAAATTTGTTCAGCAACTAGGAAAATACTTGTAAAGCCCATTTAATATTTACAGATATTTAGTGGCAGGAATAGCAACTTCCTTTTACATTTCCCAGCGGACGCTTCATGCTTCATATTTCAGCGAGCCTGTCACAGCGCATTACATCACTCTGGGAAGCCGAAATAAAGATGAATCATTTGTGAGGCTCCTGTATCTCCTCCTGGTCAGCTTTTCCAATCGCATCAGAGTAAACTGATAAAGAAGCAGACGGCTCCCCTCATGATGAACAGATAAGGTTTCAGATGTACTGCTGATGGGCCATTTTTCAGAGAAAAGGGGCTGGCAAGGGAGATGCATCCAGAAACTGTTCCAGCTTTGAGCTCTTTCCCCATCCCCTCCACTTTCCCCATTGCTGCAGCAGTGCTTAGGTGTCCTGCCCACACAAGCACCCCCAGGAGCTGACCACTGCTCACGCTGGGCACCAGAGAGGAGCACCACGTGGCATGTTGGAACGTGGCATGTGGCACATGGCATGGCTAGCCCCAGCCGGGCAGGGCTGCAGGAGGTTTGGATCCCTCCAGCCCCCATGCCCATGGCCCATCGCCGTGCTCCCAGCCAGCTGCCATCCCACTGCCGCCTCTCTCCTGGCAGCAGCCTGTGACGCGCCGTGCTCTGCAGCGTAAGGAGATACTCAGCTTCTCGCCCATGGTGCTGTGGATTTAGATATTGACTTTGGGGATCAAAAGATGGTTTTAGCTGATAATATCAGAGGGCCAGCTGAATAGAAATAAGGAAGAGGGTTAATCCTGAAGGCGAGGCGCAGCAGAAGCAGCTGGGAATACCCGTTTTTCGGACACAGAGAGAACAAAACATTTTGGTGGCACACCACTGGCCACCCTTCTGCCTCCTCACTCCCATGTGTGTCAGCCCCAGCCCTGGTGTGCCCCCAGCACAGAGCTGCCCCTCCAGGGCTGGCTGTGCTGAGAAGCCGGGCTGCTGTGGGAGGTCCACATCTGCTTCTGAGCTGCCACAGATATTCGCAAGATCTGGGGTCCTTAGGTACTTTGGCCCCCTTTAACCAAATTTTTAAATTTGGGTGAGTGTTTCTGGTGGGATGGGAAGCAAATTATCTGTAGTGACTGTGAATATCAATATGAGTTTTGAAAGGAGGAGAACAGAGACATGAAAGTATTACTAGAGGAATTATATGGACAGCAATTTTATATCAGTACAAAGGATCTTGTATAATTATAATTTTGGAGTTGGACTCAATGATCCTTGTGGGTCTCTTCCAGCTTGGGATATTCTCTGATTCTATAATTTTCCTTTACAGATAATTTAGTTTTCACTACAAAATCAAAAGTTCTTTTAATTGCAGAGAAGGGTCTTCTTTAAAAAACTATATAAAGTTCTCTGAATCGGTATTAAAAATGCACTCAGTTTAAAAAAAAAAAAATGCTGTTACATTTTTGTTCTCTGTAACACAAACACAAACAGCTTTTGTATGTGTGTGTGTGTTTTTTGTTTTGTTTTTTGCTTTAAAAGTAGCATGTAATTAATCATGGATAAGCATATGTTGCTGACTTCTATCAAGGCACTTGATTTATTTTTTTGCTTCCTTAAAGGCAAACACTGTTTATGCCAAATTATAGCAAAAGTTTATGTTATAAAGCATGCAAAGTAACTAGATAAATCTGCAAAATTAATAACATATCTGCCCATGTTTTGACATTGCCAACTTACAGCTTGAGCTAATTTCTGCTGAGGTTAGTGGACACTTCACCCACTGAAAACAACAGAAGAATTACTGCTGCCTCCTCTGGAACAAACAAAACCCCAGTCCCAGCATATGTGGTAGCTGCTGTATATCAGGAATATCACAAATCAGCGTGAAATTGAAGCAGTTACACTGAAACTGTAATTTCTTATCCATGATTTTCCTCATATATTTGAGTTGCATGTCAGGGCAGGCGGACTCCTGCTCGCAGCAGCAGAGGAGCAGTGCTGGCTGTGTGTGATGACAAACTGACGACCTCAGCTGAACCATATAGAGGAAAACATCAGTTGTGCAGCCCTGTAGAGACCACGAGTGGGCAGATAAACCCCTTTCACCCACACCTGTGCCTCGGGGACATCCTGGAGTTAAAGTACATGGACTGCTGGCATCGACAATGCACGCAGTCTAAAACAAAGTAGAAATATGCATGTAAAAGTTCAATATATAATGTGAACTTCTGATTTCTTAACATTTTCGTTCTTGAGGTCTCGGCACAGCTCTGCTGGGTACCCGCGGGAGCTCTGCAGAGCGCCATGCCCCAGCAGCCCGAGGGGACACGCAGCTCGGGCCGTTTCCCCTCCGACACGTGGGGCATAAATCAGGAGGGGGACGTCTGCGTCCAGCTGGAACGCCGCTGCGAGAACATTTCTCCTCTCTTCTATTTTTAAGGGACAGAGATTGTTCTCTAAGGAGTGAACAAGAAATATGTAAAGAATCATCCAGGCTCACTTACGGAATATTTTTTCATTACTATCTAAGGCGAGGTCTCTGTATGATGTTGTCAGATAGTCAGATTTTCCATCTTCTGAGCCAGACCTTTCACTACTTTCTCAATCAAAATTCCAATCGATCTGTCATTGCTCATTTTAAGTAAATACAATCAGATTAAGGCCAGGTTTCAAATATGAGTGAAAGCTCTTTGGAGGATGGGTTACCATGTGCAATGCTTGCCCGTGTTTTGCTGGAGAAATGCTCCTGCTGATGGCAAGTCCTGGTTCTGCTTTCAGAACATGACTGCTGCAAAGAAGCACTGAGGGAACATCTCTGGGGCACGCAGTGTGCCAGCCCTGGGGACCCCCCCGTTCACCCCACAGTGTGGCACCCTGTGGAGGGGGCTTGTCACAGCCTTGGCAGTTTACTCGTCTTCTCTGCGTTCTTCAGTTCTTTCAAAAATGAGGGCAATACAAGCTCACACAAGTTCTCCAGACAATGCAATCTGTTTTGACACGCATGGCATGACAGGGTGGTATAAAGCCTTTCCCTTACTGCAGAGCTGTCAGTTCTCTTCTGCAACCTGTGATTATTTTTACGGAGTATATTTTAATATACATGTTATGCACCCCAAATGCTTAGAGATCACCTGCATGCCACTCTGCCGCAGGCATTTCCAGGCTGTGGCACCCAAGCCCCCTGTACCTGGTCACCTGTGATCCTGGTGTGCCCCTACATCTGCCCGGAGGTTTGCGTAACTGGAATTAAAAATGTACGAGGAGCAGCCCTGGCATGAATGTTAATCACCAGTGGTTCATCCTGAGAAACATGCTGCAAATCCCTTTGAGCCCTGCCTGTTTCAAAGAATAAGAGAGGATTAGGGAGAGACTTGCTCAGCTCAGTTTGTTTTTACTGGAGCAAAGTTCCCCACTGGCTGCCGGCAGCCGAGGAAGCGAGCATCACATTTACATACACAGCCTTCCACAGGGAAAAAAAAAAAAAACTGATATCGCAGCACGAAGTCGTAACACGCCAGATGGCACTTGCTGCTGGCTGCACAGCCTGTGCTGCTCGCTGGGGGCTGCCAGTGGTTGGGGCTGAGCCGTGGAGCCCCCAGGCCAGCAGCACAGGTACCAGTGTGGGCAGCTGCCTGGCCCCCAGCTGCTGCAACGGGGGGTGTCGGGTGCCAAAGCCACCGCAGAAACATTCCCACTGAGAAGGAGTAAAGGGCTCGGGTGTTTTCACCTGAAGGATGACTTCTGGTGGCTTTTGAAGAGGTGCAGATGCAACCAGCAGCCCTCATCCCCCAGAAGAAGCACATTGGGTCAGATCTCAATGAGAGTTTTGCTTTTGTCTTCAGGGACATGGGACTTCACCTGCAGGAGATGGTGTGAAAAAGAAAGAAAAAAAAGAAAAAAAAAATGTATTTTAAATACGGCCTTTATTTTCAGACAAGCCCAAGGGTCAGAGAATTTTGCTGAAGGCTCTGACAGAAAGAATCTCACTTTTGTTTTTGGCATCCACACAGAGGACTCCACGTCTCTGACAGAATGGCTTAAAAATCAATGTAGGAAGATTTTTTACAAGAAATTGTAGCCCAGAGCCCCCCAACATCAGGACCATGAGCAACGAGTGCAGGTGCACAGAGACCTTGGTCACCCAACACTCCTCCAAGCTCCCACTCGTGGGGCCAGGTGGTGAGGAAGAAGCCAGAAGAAAGACCCAGACCCAGCTGGTCCCTTCCGTAGCCTACACACCTCTCTTTCCTCCAGAGAACAAAAGAATTAATATTTCTTTTCTTCCTGGTCCACGAGGCTTATAGGCAGCCTGCTTTCTGCTTATGACACCACTGAATTGAAACCAATAATAGAGCAAAGGCCACACGAGGTGAACCAGCGTGATGTGGTCTTGAGCCCTTACGTGCCTGATCCAGTGAACTGCGGCCCTGTTGTAATTGAGATGGAGGAATTTTAACGCCAGCTGTGGAAAGACCTAAAAAATTACAGATACCGGGCTAGATTTAGCTGGGATGCTGACACAGCACCATGGGGTCCTCCTGGGCAGGACAACTGATGGGTGGGCATAGGGTCCCACCAGCTTCCCTCGCCTCCCAGACAGAAATGGCTCCCCAAAATACTTGGCTATGTGATTTCATGTTTGCTCAGAGGTATTTTGTACACACTTCTCATGAATATTTAGCAATTTACTTGGACTTTTTTGTAAATCAATTTTAACCAAGTGGGGAATATTTTCATAAAACTAATTTTGAACTTGCAAATCCAAACGTTCATGCTGGAAGCCTCATTAGAAGAATTACAAGTAATATGCCATTAATGTGTCCAACAAAAAGAAATTAATTCTGCAGATGAACTACAAATGAACTTCAGATCAAGAATTGTCTGCAGAAATCACACTGTGATGAATAGAAGAATTGTGAATACTGGCAACGCAGGGCGAGAAAATGAGGTAGAATTTATTGAATAAATTACTTCTGTTTTTGCTGGAGTTGCGATCAAGAGATTGTTGGGCTGAGTCTGCCATTAGAACTTGTTCTATTACCGTAGGAATAAACAGGTTTTGTTTTCATTTCTTGACCTAGCATTTTCAGCTATGATTAGTTTATTTTTCAAGATAGTAAGGATGGGACAGGGATAGATGGGACTGAGAGCAACATCAGGCTAAAACCAGCTAGCAAAAATTAAGATTATTAAGAAAAAAAAAAAAAAAATGAGATCCAGCAGTGTGTTTTTGATATCCTGATTTGTGCCTCGCTCTGGTGCAGCGGGACAGCCCCTGCCCTTCCACAACTGCCTCCCTGTGGCCCCCCACCCATGGGTTGTGGCTGGTGCCCTTTCTTCACTCAGAGACTTCAAGTGATAGAGCATCTCCTTCATTGCTTCACTCAGAGAGGAGGTGAGGAGTTTCTTGTTGAAATGCTGAAAAGCTGAGACGTGTGTGCGCTGCCCACCAGAGAAGGGAGCCCTCACCAACAGCCAGCCCCAGTGGGTTCCAGCACACAGCTGTGATTTGCCTCAGACACCACCAGGAACGTGGGAGCACAGACCTCTGCACAGGGACTCGCCACAGCACTTCTGTTCCTGTCAGTGGCAAAAGAACAACGTTTGGCTCAGGAGCCCGCTCTGTGCCCCATTGGGGTGTGTTTTCGGTGGGAGGTCGGCACATCCCTTCCTTGGTGGCAGGGCTGCAGCCAGAGCCAGGCAGCCTCACTGCGGGTGCAGGAGCACCAGACAGCTCAAAGTGGGCACAAACCCTCTGCAATCAAGAGGAAGATGTTGTCTACAATTTTAATTGCTATCACGTGTTTCCCTGCATTTCTTGCACAACTCTCTAGATGGCGGGTGCTACCTTGCCTAATGGAGTTATTGCAGAGTATTTCCTTATTACTTGGGTGTGTGCCCCTTGGTTCTAATTTACACCTAAAGGATGAGCATCAACAGATAGATGTTGTCATTTGATCCATACAGAGGAGTACATCGCCATCCATATCTCTTCCTCCTTTGGCCAGACACCCTGAGGAAGGGGTGCTCCCCACCAGCAGCGTGCAGGTGGCGAAGCCAGCCCCGTGTGCAGTGAGCAGCCCGCGGGCTCACGGGGACGCAGCTGAACGGCCCGGCTTTGGGGTTTGTTCGCCTCTTTCTCTTCAGCTGCTGAGGGAGTTCCTGACCATAGTGTTATTCCGCATCGCTGCAAACTTGACTCTTGTGTATCTGGTGATCACCCAACAAATAAGTAACCAGATGTTGTCCTTTCAATTATGCAGTTAAGAAAGAAAAAAAAAAGAAAAAAAAAAAAAAAAGAAGAAAAAAAAAAAACACTGGTGTTCGATAAAGAGACGGGTGAAAAATAGCTCCAGTTGAAGTTAGTGATGATCCTGCTTTGCTCAGAAGACTTTGCTAGCCTACAAACGCTTTCATAGATTCCAGTAAGATGCAATTTGCATACGAACATTAGTCCAATTTCTGATTTCTCAAGATTTATAGAAAACCAGTACTTCTGAAATACAGAAACAAACCTGATAAATGGTTCTTAGCAGACTGGCAAACAAATCACAAATGACATTATCACAGTTCGTATTAAATACCTGCTTGTTTGACCACCTCAGCAGAATTATTCAGGGGTGAAGGAACTGTATGCCCATGACTGGACTCACAGATTTATGGTCAATGTCTTCAAGTGATGAAGGAGATCAGGGGTGTGTGTAGCAGTGCTGATACTTTTCTGAATCCACTGGAATCAGCTGCCTTTTGTTTATTACTGAAGACTACGTCCTTGTATTTCTGCTCTGTACAAAGCGTGTACATACACACAGACGTATCTGTGACCTTCACAGACGTCACATCAACAAAGAGCAAGGTTCAGTGAAAAACAAAAAAAATGAAGATAGTCATTTCAGATCTGGAGTAGATCAGTGTAGGGGCCGCCTGTGTTCCCAAGGGGGGTGAATCCCCTTGTCCTGTCCAGCAAGCATCACTGTGGGGGGTTATGGGCTAGGAGCTCTGTGTGCTTGCACTCATTAAAAAGCAAGGGAAATAATTAGTAATTAAAGAACAGGGAACTCTGAAATGGTCAAGAACATGTTTTTCGATCTTCCCACTTTTCAAAAAAAATAAAAATAAATAAATAAATAAATCACTGCCTGTCCCTTTTTGACTTTGCAAATATAAACTGAGATTCATGGATGAGGAGATTTCAAGCAAAACTTAGTTCACTTGTGAACATTTCACACTGTTCTGACCACAACCTGTGCTTTTGCTCTCTTTGAGGGTTCCAGATATAGTTTGGGAGTGGCTGCAGTTCTTCTTTTAACCTAGAAAATACTTGAAAAATGACAATTTAATACATGGTTTAAGATTTTGGACTGTCTTCATATTTCTCATCTCTGAGTTTACTTAGCACTTAGGCTACCAAAATAAAATCATCCATTATGTTTGAGATTTTTATTACCTCTTAATCTAATGTCCAAGAGCTGTTAAAAGAAACAGTGGATTACTGCAGGCAGCAGGATCTGAGCGCATGCCGAGCAGCACTGGGGTGAGGCTCAGCACGCTGTAAGTCACCAAGAACTCGTGGGGGCATCTCCTGAATACGGCCAGCAGCTCTTAGATTTTGAAATAAAGCAGACAGGTGATACCTTGAAATTAATGTGAAACCTTTACAGCCCAAGAGTCCCTTTCCATATCGCTGTGCAGGGCCTCTTCAGCACAGCAGCGCTGAGATGCCAAAGTCTTTTGCTAAAACTCTCCATTAGTGTGTATTTACTTCCAGAGAGCAAAATACCTCATTATCACATAAGAAAATAAATCCCCATGCCCCAAGTGGTGGAGGGTTGCACAGGTAACAAACTTCCTTTGACAAAATCACCTTCCAGATGCCTGAAAGGCACCTGGGCCATGTTTTATGCCATGCATCATTTCAACTTTAACCTATTAAATCCCCACCAGAAATGATGAAATATCAGATGTATGAATGCATTAGTATGCATTAGTTGCTCTGAAACAGAGCTGGGATGCTTTATAACATACATTTACTGCTGTTATAATCTGTGTCATTCTCAGGGGACAGAGGACTTAAAAACATCAGCCAGTACAATACATGTGATCTTGAGGATAAATGTTAGAGATCACAGCCAGTGTGGCACTTGTCTTTTTCTTTTTGTAGGCCGGTGTTCAGTTCAAATCAGAACTAAACACCAAGGATGCCACTGGAGTAGGAAGGAGTTAGCAGCAGGTGGTGTTGGCAGGTAACTTGCACTCACCATCCAGCGTGTTACCAACCTTCTGGTTTCCTTTCTTTTAATTGTGTAACCAACTTGTTTCCCTTCTCTTGATCATGACTTTTAAACCTCAGCTTCGCAAGTGTGTTTTATAATTTAGGTAATTAGGTAGTGTGTATGTGCATCTCCATATACACGCATGGTTTTATGCTTAGTTTGACTTTAAAAATAAAGACAGAGTTTCCAATGCTGCAAAATTCTACATGCATTTTAACATAGGTAATTAATGCCATGGAGATCACTGGAGGAAAACAAAATGCTTTCCTGAAGAAGACGGGGACAATCCATCTACGTTACCAAGTCAAGATTAGGCAGAGATCTTTGTCATGTAAGTGGTCAGTTGAGAAACTTCCAAGTAAGTCAAAATTACTGTTTTTTCCAGTGTCCACTTTGTTTTCAGTACAGGTTTGTTTATGGGATTTTTCAGAGCCCTTCTGGAATACTCAGAGGTAGGGTGTAGATTAAATGGAGTAAGATAAACACAGGTTCCTTCAGTTCTTGTGTCAAAAACCTTTTTGTGTGGAACTCGGTGAATCTGGAAAGCCTGAGCAAACACACGCGCCAAGGGCCTCTGAGCAGCTGCCTTAGCCTTGCAGTGCTTGTTGCCTGCATTAATACTGCAATGATTTATCTCCTGGAGAAGTTAGGTTCTCGATGGATTGCAGAATGCATCTGGACCGGTCTAATGAGCACATTCTTCACCATCAGAGAGGCTGTGGAGGGCTTACAAATATTTTAGACATGATTCACACAGCCAAAAGGTCTTGTTTACTGATATGCTATTTATACCTAGCTCAATTAAACCTCTTCGGAAAAAAAAATAAAATCAAAGATTCCAACACTGGCAGTGCTGTTGAAAGTGAGTATCACCTCATTTAAAAGGTTAGAAAAACACCATTAATAATTCTGATAGTTTCTCTTGGGCATATTTATGTCCTAGTCTTTGTCTAACTGCACCAGGCATCCCATACGGTGTGGTTCTGACGGCAGACAAGATCAATTAGAGTGTAACCGTGTCCCGGTGGTGCCCAGTCGGCCCAGCCTTCATCCCCGCTCCTGTGGGCTGTATCCAGCACGGAGGGGGGATGTCCATGGTGCGTGGTGAGAGGTGGCCAGCACGCAGACCACGCTGTGCTTGGGGCGGCCACATGAGGCTTACAGATGGACCTCGGCCATCTCCTGCAGCCAGCAGCTGGCAGCAGGGGTCCCGCATCAGGGTACTCCCAGGGCAGGGACCTTTCTGGTGCTGAAAGACAGAAGAGATGGAGGATGCCCACCAGAACATTTGGACCACACTCTTGCCGAGGCAGCATCCTTCCTGGCACCTGCAGCTCCACCGCCACGCTTCTGTTTCCCACCTTGACCAGTACCAAGAAACGATGAAGGGAAAAGCCTCGTGGGGAAATGTTTGGGGCAGTTCGAGTCGTGCCATGTTTTGCCAGCATTCCCTTCGACTTCCTTAATACATCGCATAGATTTGAAATACTGCACGAAGGCTGAGATAGAAATGTTAATCTTAATGATGAATGGGGCAAACGTCAAACTTTTTATTGTCTCACACATGAGACACTCGGGGTGAGCGCACCCGCAGACAACCAGGCGCCTGAAGGCACCGCGGCGCCTGCTGCCCAGGGCTGCCGGGGCTCCTTCGGTGCTCTTGGATTTGGTGCAGTGTAAGTAAGGTTTCTTCCCCATTTCACATTGGTGTATATAGCCTCTTTCTGTAGCATAAACCAAGGTGTCTCCTTGCACGGTGAAGCCATACCTTGTTCAGCCCCGCAATGAAGAGAAAGAAGCCTGTGATATAAGCAGGAACGTTCATGTGGCACGTGCAGCGAGCACTAGCAGTGTTGGCATAAAATATTCAGGAATAAATTAGTGGTGGAAAGTAAGGACACAGCCTTTATGTAACATTTTTAAATGATGCGCCCATTAAATAATAAAGGTTTTGATCCCTTAATACACTATTAATAAATTTCAAACAAACATATCTATAAGAAAATATAATTCAGTCAAGTGGAAAGCAGACTAATGTGGATTTAGAAAGAGTGCAACAAATTATAAATTCTTGCTACTTTATCAGCATTACAGAGTAGTATTAATTTTAAAAATAGCTTTTAAAAACATACATGGCATACCATAATGGAGATGGCTGTGTTTCAATTCATCATCCTGATGACTCTTTCCACAGCAATGAGTTATGCAGACGCGCCAAGCTCTGTTTTGCAAATATGGCATGCACCATACTGCAGCTGAAAGTTAAAAAAAGCAGTTTTGTCTTTTGATTCAGGATTGTGCTCTGCTGGGACTTTAGAATATGAATGGTTACGGACACGCTCTGTATGTGCATCAAAGACCAGGATGCTCCCTCCTGCTGTGTCTCTCCCAAGGAAGCAGCATCCCAGCAAAATTTCCATTGTTCATCATACCCGTAGCAAGTCGGAATCAGACCATTTAATACACATTTTGAGTGATTAAAAATAAAGAGGTTAATGGAAAATGCTAATGTAACAGAGTAGCTCCTTTAAAATACTTTGCCTATAAAAGTTTTCAGTGCTAATTGGCATGAGCGTCCTTAGAATGGTGCATTATGTCTGTCTCAGTGATGAAGGAGGCAGTTGCCATAGCAAGGAGTGTTTTTATTGACTGCTTAAAGGAAAGAAACGCATAAAACCATAGCCGAGGCCAGAAAATGAATTAGAAAAATCCCTGGGTAGCTCTAACTTACACTCGAGCTTTCTTTCATTCTTTTATTATTATTTGACTGCACAGTTCTCTACTTCTCATAAAATGGCAATTATAAATACACCAGAACCCAGTGACCCTCAGAGGCACAGGCCGAGCTCTGCCATCCCCCCGGCTGGGGGGTGCTGGGTCCATGCACCCCCTCAGTCCTCGCCTTGCCCAGGTCAGGGCAGCCCCCAGCCCCGTCCCAGCAGCGTGGAAACAAGCAGGGGGCTTAGGGCTGGCCAGCACGGGCAGCAGACCTGTCCATGTGTGAGTGTGGGACCGTGCTGTCTCTGCCTGTCCCTTCCTCCTCCCTCCTCCCAGCAACAACTTGTTAATCTGTCTGCCAGTTGCTGCCTTAATGTGTTCCCTGGTCACATTTTATGTTATTTAATAATATAAGAATACCCCTAAATGTAATCACCATTTACTGGGTACCTAATTCAACCAAAAAGACCAGAACTCACTAGAAGGCAGATGTTTTTCTCTATAAATATTAGAATAATGCTCAGACAGTAGATCAAAGTATAATGATAAGGTTAGCAAAGCCATTTATTTTATTACCTTATCATTGTAAAAATGAAATTTGTCCAGCTAGAAATGGCAAACTCCATTTACCTGCATACTGGCCTCTTCAGCATCCTTCCTTCAGACTTCTGCTCTTGCCTTCCTTTCTGCCTTCCTACCGGTGTATTATATAGAGCTAATCAGTTGTTGTCACCTGTTGGGAACTACAGCAATTTAATCTGTCTTTATGTTCTTTTATGCCAATATCCATTTACGTGGATTGCACACTGCATTTTCATACTCTTAGTCAAATGAGCATCAGTTGCAAAATCATCTTTCTTCATAATGCTTATGTAGCACTCTGTTTCCTCTGTTGTTTAGGTGATTAATGGATAAATTCTCCTGGAACTGCGCTGTATAAAATCTATATAATGACAAGTTTGGGGAATCTCCTTTGCCCAGATTTATTTCCACATGCTGTTATGCAACTGGGAGCCGTAAATCCGGCTTCCCGTGTGACTGGTAGCCACATTTTGAAATCACACTTTCAACGTGTATGCATGGCAGGTTGTGATTGCTGCACACACCATGGTCACAATCAACCATCACAAGCAATTCATTTTCTTTCATTCTTTATTAAATTTTCCCAGTACTTCATATGCAAGTTCAATATCACTTGCATATCACTCCTCCATATTGCAACTCAGCCATCATTTGATAGTTCCGTAAAAGGATCTTTAGAATTCCTAATCCCTGATAAAGATGCCATGGGCACATGGTGCACCCACTGATTATAAATGCATTCTGCAGGTCCAATTCCATGCCACACCAGCTCTATAACAGCTCAGATATTGTCTGTTATCTCACACCCAGTAGAAAAGCCTGATTCAACATCAATATCATCTTGTGCACGCTGGCTAATACAACAGGAGTTTAACTGTGCATTCACCCTTGCTCTATATCAAATCTATATGCTGGGTCCTGTGACAGGACACAGACTCTGTATTAATGGTCGTGGAGCCGCTGCCTGAGAGCACATTAAGTCTGTTTGCATAGCATCTGATATGCTTCAAGCTGTAACATCGTTCTCTCATTTTTCCTATTATATTATGATCAACTGCTATTATTTGAGAGTATTTCAACTCCATTCATGATGCATACACAGAAAAATGTTCTGCACAATCATTCTGAGGGTAAGCTATCTAGCTTAAATGAAACAAGATCATTGCTGCTTCAAGCAAATGAGAAGAGACTTTCTATTTTGCACATCACTGAGCTCTACATTTTGGCATTGTTTATTTTGCTGAGCCTCCTTTACAGAATTAAAATATTAATATACTGGTGCTATTTAGGTAGTAACCAGAGTATGTCTCTCATTTATATTAATTTCCCAGGAGGGAGATATTTCAAAGACCCAATCAGAGAACAAAAGTAACTTTATCTTTTAAACTCTTGAAACATCCTCTCCCACCCAGACTTATCCACAACTACAGACTTCAGTGCTGTGTTCCTCAGAAGGCACCAACGCTGTGCTCAGCATGCAACCTGCCCACAAAGAAACCACCAGGGAGGTCACTTTGAGATGCCCAAGATGCAGGGAATGGTGTCCCCGTGAGAGAAGTGGGTCAACAGCTCAGCAGAATCCCACACCCGGCCTGGACACTGCTCTGCAGCTGCAAAACCTCAGCGTTAATGTCACCTCCTGCAGCCTTCTGTGCTTTTGTCACCACTGCTGTGGGACCAGGGAAAGAGTCTGTGCCCCTGTTGCCAGCGTGTCACCACAGCAGCTGGCCAAACCTGGCTGAAAATGTGAGGGCTCTCGCTGGGACGTGTCATTTCGGATGTGCTTCTCTTGTCCAGACTCACTTTGGACAGAGATGTGTTTTAACAACCCGTCCATCCTGATGCCGATGCCGACCATGAGCTCCTTACAGCAGCCCTGAGCCAAAAGAAGGCAGATTTTGCAGTGACAGCTCTAAAGAGTTACAGCGCCTTAAATCAAATTAGCAGACAGCATCTGAGTGGGAGCCTCTACAAGACGAATGAGCCGGCATTTTTTAAAGAGTAACAACGAGGCAATAAACAAGATTAACACAGAACTAATGGATGAATGGAGACAAATTCGCAGAATGTCCATGTAATGTCAGAGGGGGTTGCATGCCAGACTTTTGGCGAAGTGTTTGAGACAGGAGTAGGTGGCTCGTACCTACTAAATCACAGGCATAAATCCTACGCTGCGTTAGCGGAACATGAATGATCTACTCCAAAATGAACGGGGAAAAGGAAGGGAATTCACTGTTAGGGATAAAAAGGGCTGCTAACCTAAGCTGCCTTTTTATTTCAGCCAGGTTGTGAAAGGCATTTATCTGCCTAATGAAGCATTTAGGTCCGTGCATGGCGCTCAGTCCCCCAGCTTCATAAAGATGCCCCCCAAAGGTGTCCGTACACTGCAGTTGCCACAACAAGGGCTGACATAGCTGGCTTTGGAAACAAAGGAAGTTCATACCAGCAAGTTGATTCCAAATTTCATACCAAAACCAAGTCAAGGGGAAAAAGGCTTGCTCCTTTCCTTCCACTCAGAGCAGATCTCTGCCTATGCCAGCCTATAAACTGATCGTAGCAGGTTTAAGAGGAGTTTCCAGTGTGTCAGATCTCCAGTTATTGCCATGGGCAGTTCTTTGTCATTTTTGGCTAAACATTAGTTAAACAAAAGAAGTTATTGATTAACAGGTAGAATTAGTGCTACCAGAAGTCCAAAAGCCTTTCTGATGGGAAATACTGCTTTGTCGCTATGGCGTGAGACCCAGCCTTTGCAGCCCTGATGCAGAATTTCCCGGTTACTGTAAGCAGGACTTGCTCAGTTCCTTGCCCTTTGAATTAATTTGGACAAAACCTGATACACGTGGAAAAATCAGAGAAACTTTTGAACTCGGAGACTTCAGAGATCATAGCTGAATCAGCCCGGCGTGCTCCAGTTGTGCCACTGGCTCTGGAGGAAGACAAAACCTCTCTGCAAAGCTGGCTGCATGCTGCCCTCAGCTGTCAGATTGCAACCCGAGTATCTGCCTGCTCCTCCGGAGTCACTGAATGTGCCAGTGGAAACATCTGGTTACAGTCCTGCTCTTACAAATAAGTTTCTACTAGCTTCCACACCTGAAGAACGATAAATGAAGAGCCATGAACAGCAAGCGAGGCTCACTTTTTAGACCTGTAACCTCATACTTGAATTGAAATCCTTCTGGGCTGTTTGGTGCTCTTACAGCCATTTGAGTAAATAATGGAAACTCTTACATTTGTGACTTTTTCTGCCATTGCTTGGAAACAACCCATATGGTACAGCGATGCCTTTCATTTTTAAGTGGTGCGTGGAATCAACTTGTAAGTGCATTTGAAAAACTAGCTGGAAATACTTGAAAAACTATATGGAAATAAATGCTTTCTTTTAAATCCGTACTGTTTTTTGAACTTGTAGAATACCAGTTAAGCTAGATGGATTTAGAAAGGCCCTACAGTGTTTTTCTATTGAAATACCAAATGATAAACACCATTTTTCTTGTGTCCCTGCAGAAACAAGACAGCCTAGGGTAACATAAAATTTTCTTTTACTTCTTTCCAACAATGGTATACTTCTTGTTTTAGAGGCTGATTAATATTTATTACTATAGTAAATGGCAACTTAAATATATGCTAGCAGTTGTGCAGCATATCATTAATTTAAGAAAACAGGACACCTACTATCAAACTACAATGGGTCCTTCTGCAATGAATAATGGGGGTGATAAGGGTGGCCTTTTAAAAGGAATTACTGGAACGCTGTGGGACGGATTTAAGTGGCAGCACGTTATCCCGCAGAAGGAAACTTTTCCAAACGGTGCCTGTGATTACACACGTATTCGGTAAGTGAGGCGCCTTGGGTTACACGCTGTGAGGGGCAACCAAAAAATAAGAAAGTGGGAAAACAGTCATAACTCAGCCATCAAAACCAGCATTCTCCTCACAAATGATACCGAGAGAAGTGCTTCGTCCTTTGCTTGTCTTAGGGTGCAGGGATGCATTCAGCGGGGCTGGCAGGCACTGGTGCATGTTTTGTTAAAAGCCAACCTTAAATCCTTTCAAAAGAGGGTTTGAAGTTGGAGCTGGAAGAGAGACCTGTGGGTTTGTTTTTTGATTGGGAAGGTACCTTGTAGAGGAGAAATCTTTGCTTTGAGGTTTCTTTTTGTTTGTTTGTTTGTTTTCTTTTTGAGACTCCTGAGTTGTCCCATCCTCAGATGTGACTTTTAGAAAGTCAAAATGAAAAAGTATTTATTCCATAAAACTCAATGTCAGACTGTAAAGACTAGCATCAGATAAGGTTAGTTCTAGTTTTCCAGTGTTTGTATCTTAACTACAGCATTCTTCAAAATTACTTTTGTTAGTTTAATATCCTTGCACTAGTAAGATTTCTCACTCTGATAGCAAAGGCCTACATGACATAACATTTTGGTCTTTAAATAAAAACAGCTCCACAGTCTGATACAGACACTTACACGGAGGATGACATTTGGCACAGGACTGAAGGAGCAGACCGCTGCTTTATTTACATGCACTCACTGTGCACAACAAGACACCAGGGCTGCTGGATCAGGAGGTCTCTGCCATTTGAGGGCTAGAAGATTTACAGCCCTGGACCAAACCTCTCCTGCTCCAGGAGGGCCTTGACATGGCTCAGGCACCACCCATGGTCATTTTCGCTAACAACTGGCCTTGTTCTTGCCACCCTCATCCTCTCCAGGCATTTCCCACCACATGAGCAGCCAATGCCCCCTGCGTCCATCCGCTGACCCTCTACAGCCACATGCGTCACTTGAAAACAACTCTTCACCCTGGACTATCTTTTCTAGGACATTTCCTAGCTTCTTTGTGTACGCCCACGGCTTTCTCAAGAGGTTGTGTCCCCTCCAGGCTCATTTTCCTCCTTCCCAGGACTTGTCTTCACACCAGGTGGGATAAAGGCATCCCTTCCCTGGCGGCACAGCCAGCCGGACAAAGGTTGCAGCCACCAGCACCCCGGGCTCAGCCACAGCACTGGCAGGGCAATGGGGATGCAGCGTGGCAGCCCTGTAACGCCTTCAGCCAGAGCTCTGCCCCAGGGATCCCATCCATGGGCACAGCACAGAGCTTGGCCCCAGCAGGCGCAGGAGTCCCTTGGCAAAGACAAAGTCAAAAAAAGTCCTAGAGGATTCAAAGTAAAAAGGCAAAAAGGGTGATTCATTTTCTTTGTAAATGCTACATGTCATTTTCTTATGGATTTTAGTATCGCTG